TAGATATTCATAACAAAGTTCATTGAAGAATAGAACAGTACCATGGTGCTTGATATCTGCAGAACAAGAAACATGCTTTATGCTTTATTTATTTTATTTATATAATTTTATAACCTTCCTTCTTTTTTTGCATGTGCTATTAATTAACATAACAAACTAGGTAGCTAGTTTGCCAAAGACTTTAAAGATTTAAGTGGAAATGTCACCCACATTATAGTTCATTTATCTCTTCTTCCTACCCAATGGTTCTCATAAATAGAATTTCAAGTTTCATACCTTAGCAGAGTAAAAATATTGTTCTCTATAACAGTAAGTTCATTAGAAACATTGGTTGCTGTATATTATTGGTACTTGTCTAGAAGACTGATGCAGAATAAATCATACTGTGGATTGATAGTAGAAAGGCTCATCATGTATGTGTAATAAGTAAGAGCTCAAATATTGTAGAAAGATTCTCCCAGCTGATCTTTATCATTATCTGAAAATGGAACTTGGGAATATGCAAGGCCAATATGCAATGAAATAACATATCTTGGGAGAAAGAATTCTAATTATTATTAACCTTACCTCAAACATATCTTTTGAAGAAAATACCTAAGAAAGTTTTAATAACAGAGTTGGAAGGGACCTTGGAGGTCTTCTAGTCCAGGGATCCCCAATCCCCGGTCTGTAGACCAGCCCCGGTCTGCAGCATGCCAGAAACTGGGCCACACAAACAAGCGAAGCCCCATCTGCGAGATGCAGGCCACACATGAAATCACACCCCCTCTGGTCCATGGTAAAAATCTCTCTCCACGGAACCAGTCCCTGGTGCCCAAAAGGTTGGGGGCCACTGTTCTAGTCCAACCATTTGTTCAAGCAGGAGACCCTACACCATTCTAGACAAGTGGCTGTTCAGTCTTTTCTTAAGAATCTCCATTGTTGGAGCACCCACAATTTCTGGAGGCAAGCTGTTTCACTGGTTAATTGTTCCCACTGTCAGGTTATTTCACCTTAGTTCTAGGTTAGTTCTCTCCTTGATTAGTATCCATCCATTGCTTCATGTCCTGCCTTCTGGTGCTTTGGAAAATAGGTTGACCCTTCTTCTTTGTGGGAGCCCCTTAGATATTGGAACACTGCTATCATATCATCCCTAGTCCTTCTTTTCGTTAAACTAGACATAGCCAAATCCTACAACTGTTCTTTGTATGTTTTGGCTTCCAGTCCCCTAATCATCTTTTTTCCTACTTCATTAACTATTCATCATTCTCCACTATATATTCAGGGGGATATAAGGAAATTGCCATTTGTTTCAATATTATTCCGTAAAATGCAGCTTGATTTTCCTTGCATGACCTCTGTTCATACATTTTGCTGTTGAAATATACAGCAAAATGCATACACACACATACAGAAAGACAGAGGGCCATTGGAACTAAGGATGAGTAAGAAATTTTGATTAGAAACCCCCATTGGAACCTATTTGCAAACCTGCCAGTAAAAGATTGCAAAACGGATATACTAAATATCCTGAAATTCAAAAGATTTGTCACCTATCACTTCCAGTAGTGATTGCTTACTGGGTTTAATGGAAATGTGATGTTATGAACCAGAAATGCAAAGTAGAACTATAAGAGGTTCATAACTGATCAGTAAAGGCTTTCTCTATAATTCACGAGATCTGGTGCTATAAAATGAATTATATCGGGCATAAATTCCATTCTGAATATCACCAATAGGCAATTGCTTTGCAATGAATATAATTGCATCCTGCATCTAAATATATGATCTTGCCAGACTTTTCTTATGCTTGTAGTAGTTATGGGCATTGTTTCATCTGTTTATCCTACCTTTTTTATTTTCTTTTTTTCATGGTTCAGGGAGAACATCAATAGAAGTGAATATTTTAATTCCAGGGTTGAATTGCGGGGTTCTTTATGTTCTTTAAACATAACTTGATGGTTTTCTTGCAGATATTTCATTACCCAACTAGGATTATGGTTAGGGTTAGAAGAATGTGGGATTTGTTCTCTGTTTATATAGTATTGGTTTGCACTGTCAGTGTTAGTGGAAGTATTCTTAGCAGTTCCTTGATTAGGCTGTTGTTTGTTGTTTGATTTTTTTTTTTGTCTTAGTTGATAATTGATTGATTGTTGCTATTAACTTTACAGTGTTATTAATAAAATAATGTAAGTAAAAATTAAGCATCTTGAACTACATAGGTAGTCCTTGACACTTAGTTTAATGACCATTTGAAGTTACAATGGCACTGTAAAAAGTGATGTATGACTATTTTTCACACTTATGAACTGTTGCAGCATTCCCGTGATTTCATGATGAAAATTTAGAAGCTTGGCAACCGGCATGAACTTATGACAGTTCCATTGTTCAGCGTCATGTGATCACTTTGTAACCTTCTGACAAGCAAAGTCAATGGGGAAGTCAGATTCAGTTAACAACTGTGTTACTAACTTAACAACTGCAGTGATTCACTTAACAACTGTGGCAAGAAAGGTCATAAAATGGGGCAAAACTCAGTTAACAACTGTTTAATTTTGCAATATAGATTTTGGCTCCATTGAGATTGTAAGTTGAGGACTACCTATAATATAATGTTTTAAATTGAGTACAAATGTTCACTCGCCTATAAATGAATTTGAAATCTTATAAAGCTTATAAAACTATGCCACTGACATACACAATAATTCATAAAAAATGCCTTTGCAATGTATGAGCATAGTACCTCTATTATTTTTGAAAGCACAATAGAATTTTTCAATTCTGCAGAAAAAAATATGTCTGCCCTTTAAGAAGATACTATGAGGTGCTATGCTCATACATTGCAAAGGCATTTTTATGAATTATTATGTATGTCAGTGGCATAGATTATGACACTTTAAGAAAGTAACATACTCAAGGGTAATATACGGTATCTCCTAAATCAGGAAAAACTTATTTTTTTGACTTGCTGTTCAAAGTTCTACCTGTTATACATATTTAGGAATAACCACTGACAAACTAGTAGTAAAAGTCATAGCAATAGTATGGCTATTAATATAACTTGCTGAGAATATGCAGGAGAATGTGAAATATCTGGCAATAGACTATGTGAGCATGGGAAATGCATGTGTGGATTCTATAAACATAATACTAATATACCTTTAGCATGGTTCCTTACAACTGAGTTTAAGTGTTACCCCCCAGTTGAATTGGCTGTCAGATCTGCCTCAACTTAAATAGAAATGATCCTTGGCTCCATTTGTTGAGAAAGGTATAGTTTATTAGAGATCAAGAATATTGCAGTAGCACAAAGCCAGAACTGAGAATCCACTCCAAAATTCCTATTCTACTTTTTCCTCCCTCGTTGCCCACCATTGTCCAGTGTAACCAATCAGGCTCAGGAAAGATGTTTTCATAATGGTCAGTCTAAACCAGGGCTGTCAAACTGCCGGCCCGCGGGCCAGACGCATCATTGGGAAACCACGCCCACCCCATTGCCAGCAATGGCGAAAAAGCTCCGATATGTTGTGTGGCGTCACATGACATTGCGAGTTTGACATGTCTGGTCTAAGCCCTGTTTGGTATGTTGCTCCCTCCTTCCAACTGGGTGACCTTGAGGCAGTGTCTAAAGGAAATACAGCATCCACAGTTCATAGCAGCCTGTCACCACACAGCAGCAAAGCACAAGCAAGCATAAAGTGACAGCTGACACTGGAAGAAAGTTATACCAGCATAAAGCTTGCTCATCCTATCCTGACAAAGGAATGGTGTTGATAAATGCTGCTGACCTTATTTATAATGTACAAGGTGTCTTTGGGGCAGGTGGATTCCTGTAGTTTTACTTTTCTCCCTCACTCCTCCCATCCCTCCCACCCCACCCACCAAGCCAAACCATCCTTCTCATGAAAAATAGCTAAACAGCTACAAACTTTCAAAACACAATAAAATAATCAAGGATCAAATATGCAAACATCATAAATCAGAACAAGGCACAGAGAAAATTAGTTAAAAGGCTTCCCAGAGATTCAGAGTTTAATAAAAAAAAATACCATTCTCTTCAATTTGAAAGAAAAGATTCAAAAACCTTTCAATGGGAAAGCTTCATTTGTTTGTTTGTTTGATCTATGGGCCACCTATCTCATCTAGAGGCGATAATATCCAATATCCACTGTTTTCTGTGGGAATTAAGTGTCAGAAACATCAACAAATGCTTTCAAAGTAAAGAACTATTTCTGCCCAGGTATTCAATTCAATTTTACACACTCCATCCAGAATAATAGAAGGTATTCTTCATGCAGTCTCTCCTTTGTTATCCATTTCTTTCTTGGTGAAATACTTTTTTTTATCATAATTTTTATTAGTTTTTTACACAAACATAAGTCATTCAATAGTTGATAAACAGTGTGGTGTCTGGGTTACATTTGTAAAAACAGTCCTTAACAATTAATTTCTATAGTCTGTATTTCATATATTAATTTTGTTTACTTTCCTCTTTCCCTAAAAACATCCTTTTTTGCAAACATTGCGTTAATACAATTCTTAATATTTTAATAACTGACAATTTAGTATATATTTTTTCCAATATTCCTAAAAAATAATCATCATATTAATACATTTCTTTTCTTTCCATTCATTTGGATTTGCCTTATCATCAATCCTGTTACAGTCCTTATTTTAGTTTATTTCTCCCACCAAATTCTGAGTATTTTTATTGGTAGCAATTAATTACATTTACATTGACAGACTTGATTCTATTTTTTCCATATAAGCCATCTCACATTTTTGTGTTTCTTAAGTATTAAATATAAAAGTAAAAAGAGAGGGGAAGAGAAAGAGAATAAGAGAAAAAAATAAATAAAAAAATACAAAAGAATAGAAAAAAGCAGTTGTAACAGAACAGAGAAAAATAACATAGTACTTAAAATATATCTCTCACCTAGCTTAGTAGTATTTATTTTCTCGAATTTCTAATTCTTTTTAATCATAGTTAAAAATATATTTAATCTTTAAACATTCTGTTCAATAAATCTAGTCACCTAATCCCTTAACTCTAATTTAAAACATTTTATATGTATTATATATATTTTTCTTGAGTTCAGTCATCTTGGTGAAATACTTAAGTTATTTAAGGTATGATAAGTATTGCCATCCAGAATTGATTAAGGTGTTTCTGATCCAGCCATAACACCATCTATTAGGAGAGAACTGAAAAAGCTTCTTGGATGAGAAGCGAAATGTCTTCAAGGAAAAACAAAGAAGGTCCAGTTACCTCTTGAAAAAAAAGCGCCTTTGAGACAATCATGACCTGGATGATTGAGAATCTCCACAGACACGATTAGGAAAGTCACATATTTTGAACCAATGAGACAATCAGGAGAATATGCATTTTCTTCTGTGTATCACATGTCAGAGAGTTCATGAGTCTTAGACCTTTTATACTTTCAGACCAGTCAGACTCTTTCTTGTTCCTAAATGAATTAAGAAGAATTTGGATTTTTTTTTCAGTCGAGTTTACTGGATTTCCACTGTGATCTTTTTCAGCAGAAATCTTATCATTCTTCTGAGCAACTTGCCCAGTGCCTCTTTCACCTTGTCATTCCTCAGGCAGTAAATCAAGGGATTGACAAATGGTGTGACAGCAGTATAGAAGACTGTAATTGCCTTCCTAATGTTTGGGTGGCTTTCACCATGTGGAATTACATACATTGCTCCTACAGTACTGTAAAACAGTGCTACCACCAAGAGATGCATAGAGATGGTAGAGAAGCCCTTCCTACATCGACTTTTGCTGAAGGATTTCATCAAAGTGTAGATCACATTACCGTAGGAGAATATCACAAAGAAGACATTGACCAAAAACAGAATTTGCATGCTAATTTGCATGACTAGTGGAGCCTTCCTAAGAGGAGCACAAGCTAAGGAAAGAATTGGCACAGGATCACAGACAAAGTGGTCAATGCTGTTGTCTCCACAAAAGGACAGTTTGGAGATCAAAACAACTGGGAGAAGGAATCCTAGAAAGCCAACCAACCAACATCCAGCTATCAATCTATAGCAGAAATTTGAGGACACAATATTGGGATAACGCAAGGGATGGCAGATGGCTAAATAGCGATCTAAGGCCAGGGCTGAGAGGAAGGAAAATTCAGTGTTGCCAAGTGAGAAGAAAATATAAAATTGGAAGAAGCAGGCATGGAAGGAGATGACATGGTTTTGGGTTGCCAAATCGAAAAGCAAGCGGGGAATACTGGTGGTCACATAGCAGATCTCCAGCCAAGAAAAATTGCTCAGCAAGATGTACATGGGGAGTTGGCTCAACTGACCATCTATATGGACCACAGTGATGATGGTGCTATTTTCCACCAAAGTGAGCACATAAAGGACAATCAAGAAAGCAAAGAGCAGGAATTGTTTCTCCTGATCCATTCCAAATCCCAGCAAAATGAATTCCTGGACTCCAGTCCCATTGGTCAACTCCATCTAGAATCATATGTGAGAATTGCTATCATATAAAGATACATTTGTTATTATCTCAGATGTCTATCGGATTAGCTTGAAAGAAAAACATAAATTCATGAATGTGAACATCAGTTGCCATATTTTTCTACAAATTGCCAGAAACTATAGAGTTCTACCATATCTTCGCTAATGTCCAGCAAAGAAGATGGGCTGTTCCAATATTTATCTGCATCATATAGATGCATAATACTTTGAAAAAAGGTTGCTCTAAAGTTTAATTATAATATTTGAAAAGCACTGGGGTTTTTCAGAAGCTAGAAAGGTGTGTTTAAAGGTTACTTAAAAAAACAATATGAAACAATAACAGAACAAACATTAGCATTCAAGAATCAAGATCAACTAATGTATCAAATATCTCACAAACCTGTTTTGTCCTGTTACCAAAAACAATACCATTTGATTACAGATTATATTTCATTTGGTTAAAAAAAGGAGAAATAATTATCTGTTTTATTATGATATTTTGACTAATGATCATATTTTTTGAGCAATCACATCTGGCTTCCACCAACATTGACTCAGAGATACATTGCAGAAAACATTTGAGCCCATCCTTCCTTCGCTCACAGAAAAACGGTATTGTTCTAAAGATTTTCTAAATTACCTTTCCTTCCACGATCCCTTGCAAAATCTAACACAGCCTGAGCACAAGGTCTCCTGTCCCTCCAGGATCCCTTGCAACATCCTAACATACAGTAGCTCCCAACCCAGCCTTGTTGCTCAGAACCTGAGGCACACTCACAAATAGACCTACTGAAATCAAAGTGTACTGTATTGTACTCAAGTCAGATCCTGTTGTTTTGTCATGTGACCTCTCTGCATTGCTGGCAGTAGACGCTTAGAAATAATATACTAAATCCTCCGTCCTTTTCTAACCTTCCACAATATCCACCAGAGCAAATGCAAAAACATTCCCTTCTCACACCTCAGTAGGATTTAAGCCATTTTGGGAAGATTCTGCTCAAGGACTTCATCATAATTCAGGAAGGACAATTTCCTTCTGAGTGCCTGACATGGTCCTTTTTCCCCTTGGGAAGATTCTGCTCAAGGACTTCATCATAATTCAGGAAGGACAATTTCCTTCTGAGTGCCTGACATGATCCTTTCCCTGCAGGACCAATCAGGCAAAGAGTATCTATGGAGAGTCTCAATCATCCAGGTCATGGTTGTCCCAAAGGTGTTTTTCTAAAAGGCAACTGGACTTTCTTGATTTTTTTCCTTTGAAAACATTTTGCTTCTCACCCAAGAAGCTTCTTCAGTTTTTCAGTTCAGTTCAGTTCTTCAGTTCAGTTTCTTCAGAACTGAAGAAGCTGCTTGGATGAGAAGCGAAATGTTTTCAAAGGGGAAAAAAAAACCAAGAAAGTCCTAGTTGTCTTTTGGAAAAACATCTTTAGGACAATCAAGCAAAGAGCACAAAGGACTTTATTGTAGGTTTACAAGAGGGAAACTCCAGGTGTATTCCTGAGTGTGTGCGCTATCATGGAAATGCCCATTGTATGCACTAGCATTTCAGGTTGCACAGCCTGTTGATTATCAAAGAAAATGCTGTTTGCCCATAAAACAATATTTCTGAGGATTGTCCTGCATGTCTTCTGCCCACATTGCATGAATCCTGCTTTCTTCTGGTTCTGGGTTGTTGTTGTTGTTAATTGCGAAGTCGTGTCCGACCCATCGCGACCCCATGGACAACGTTTCTCCAGGTCTTCCTGTCCTCTACCATCTTCTGCAGTCCATTTAAATTCACACCTACTGCTTCAGTGACTCCATCCAGCCATCTCATTCTCTGTCGTCCCCTTCTTCTATTGCCCTCAATCTTTCCCAGCATTAGGCTCTTCTCCAGTGAATCCTTCCTTCTCATTAGGTGGCCAAAGTACTTGAGTTTCAACTTCAGGATCTGGCCTTCTAAGGAGCAGTCGGGGTTGATCTCTTCTAGGACTGACCGGTTTGAACGCCTTGCAGTCCAAGGGACTCGCAGGAGTCTTCTCCAGCACCATAGTTCAAAGGCCTCAATTCTTTTGCGCTCAGCCTTTCTTATGGTCCAACTTTCACAGCCATACATTGCAACTGGGAAAACCATGGCCTGGACTATACGCACTTTTGTTGGCAGGGTGATGTCTCTGCTTTTTAGAATGCTGCCTAGATTTGCCATAGCTTTCCTCCCCAGGAGCAAGCGTCTTTTAATTTCTTGGCTGCAGTCCCCATCTGAGGTGATCTTGGAGCCCAGAAAAATAAAATCTGTCACTACCTCCATTTCTTCCCCATCTATTTGCAGGAATTGAGAGGGCCGGATGCCATGATTTTGGTTTTCTTAATGTTGAGTTTCAAGCCAACTTTTGCACTCTCCTTCTTCACCCGCATCAAGAGGCTCTTTAGTTCCTCTTCACTTTCTGCCATCAGAGTGGTATCATCTGCATATCTTAGGTTGTTGATATTTCTCCCAGCAATCTTAATTCCAACTTTGATTCATCTAGCCCTGCCTTTCTCATGATGTGCTCTGCATATAAGTTAAATAGGCAGGGCGACAGTATACAGCCTTGCCGGACTCCTTTTCCAATTTGAACCAATCAGTGGTTCCGTGTTCGGTTCTCACTGTTGCTTCTTGACCCACATATAGGTTTCGAAAGAGACAAAGAGATGGTCTGGTACTCCCATCTCTTTAAGAACTTGCCACAATTTGTTGTGATCCACACAATCAAAGGCTTTTGCATAGTCAATGAAGCAGAAGTAGATGTTTTTCTGGAACTCCCTAGCTTTCTCCATGATCCAGCGTATGTTGGCAATTTGATCTCTAGTTCCTCTGCCTCTTCGAAATCCTGCCTGTACTTCTGGTAGTTCTCGATCCACATACTGCTGGAGTCTAGCTTGTAGGATTTTAAGCATAACTTTACTAGCATGTGAAATGAGTGCAATGGTGCGATAGTTTGAACATTCTTTGGCATTGCCTTTCTTTGGAATTGGAATGTAAACTGACCTTTTCCAATCCTGTGGCCACTGTTGAGTTTTCCAAATTTGCTGGCAAATTGAATGTAGCACTTTTACTGCATCGTCTTTTAAGATTTTGAATAGCTCAGCTGGAATACTGTCACCTCCACTAGCTTTGTTGTTGCTCAGATTTTCTAAGGCCCATTTCACTTCACATTCTAGGATGTCTGGTTCGAGGTCAATGACCATCTCATTGTGGTTATCTGGGATGTTAAGCTCATTCTTGTATAGTTCTTCTGTGTAGTTTTGCCATCTCTTCTTAATCTCTTCTGCTCTGTTAGGTCTCTGCCATTTTGGTCCTTTATCATGCCCATCTTTGCATGAAACGTTCCCTTCATATCTCCAATTTTCTTGAAGAGATCTCTGGTCCTCCCTATTCTGTTGTTTTCTTCTATTTCTTGCACTGTTCATTTAAGAAGGCATTCTTATCTCTTCTAGCTACTCTCTGGAATTCTGCATTCAATTGGGTGTATCTTTCTCTTTCTCCTTTGCCTTTCGCTTCCCTTCTTTCCTCAGCTATTTGCAAAGCTTCCTCAGACAGCCATTTTGCTTTCTTGCATTTCTTTTTCTTTGGGATGGTTTTAGTTGCTACCTCTTGTACAATGTTGCGAACTTCCATCCATAGTTCTTCAGGCACTCTGTCTATCAGATCCAGTTCCTTAAATCTATTTGTCACCTCTACTGTATATTCATCAGGAATATGATTTAGTTCATACCTGAGTGGCCTAGTGCTTTTCCCTACTTTTTTCAATTTAAGCCTAAATTTTGCAACGAGAAGCTCATGATCTGAGCCACAGTCAGCTCCTGGTCTTGTTTTTACTGACTGTATACAGCTTCTCCATCTTTGGCTGCAGAGCACATAGTCAATCTGATTTCTATGTTGACCGTCTGGTGATGTCCATGTGTAGAGCCGTCTCTTGGGTTGTTGGAAAAGAGTGTTTGTTATGACCATCGTATTCTCTTGACAAAATTCTATTAGCCTGTGCCCTGCTTCATTTTGTACTCCAAGGCCAAACTTGCCTGTTATTCCGGTTATCTTTTGGCTTCCTACCTTAGCATTCCAATCCCCCATGATGATAAGGACATCATTTTTTGGTGTTAATTCTATAAGGTGCTGTAGGGCTTCATAGAACCGGTCAATTTCATCCTCTTCAGCACCAGTGGTTGGGGCATAGATTTGGACTACTGTGATATTGAATGGTTTGCCTTGGATTCGAATTGAGATCATTCTGTCATTTTGGGGATTGTATCCCAGTATTGCTTTTCCTATTCTTTTATTGACTATGAAGGCTACTCCATTTCTTCTGAGGGATTCTTGCCCACAGTAGTATACCTGATGGTCATCTGAGTTAAATTCACCCATTCCTGTCCATTTTAGTTCGCTGATTCCTAAGATGTCGATGTTCAGTCTTGTCATCTCTTTTTTGACTACGTCTAGCATGCCTTGATTCATGGATCTTACATTCCAGGTTCCTATGGAGAATAAATCTTTCTGGGTTCTGGGTTAGCTGCATTAATCCATAATGTCATGTGCTCTTTATTTCCCCCAAAAAATATTTATTTCAAACCCAAGGTGATCCTGACTTGATTTCCTTTCAAGGAAACAGCAATAAAGAGTAAAAATGTTTGCATAATATATATCCAGTTCCTGGCAATGCAGGAATTAATAAGTCAAGGTTTTTTCCATTCCTATTTTAAATCCAAGTATTTTTCCTAATTCACCGCTGAAATTCTTATGAGAACAGATAGTCCTCAACTTACAACAGTTCACTTAGTGACTGTTCAATGTTACATCAGCTCTGAAAACGTGACTTCATACTTATGACCATTGCAAAATCCCATGTGATCAAAATTCAGATGCTTGGCAACTGACTCATATTTATGATGGTTGCAATGTCCTGGGGTCATTTGATCAACTTTTGTAAACTTCTGACAAGTAAAGTCAATGGGGAAGCCAGATTCACTTAACAGTCATGTTACTAACTTAACAACTCCAGTGATTCACTTAACAACTGTGGCAAGAAAGGTCGTAAAATGGGGCAAAACTCAGTTAACAAATGTCTCATTTAGCAACAGAAATTTTTGACTTAACTGTGTTTGTAAGTCAAGAATTACCTGTATTCCCCCTCTGCATTTTTACTTGTCAAAGAACAAAATGCATAAGCCTCTGTCTCCTTCAAATACAGATGGCTTACCTTATTCCCATGAGTTCAAGAGTAGACTTTGGAAATCTCCCAAGAGTAAACTATCATCAGGTGAAACAATGGAACTGAACAAGGAAGAGCTAAGCAATATCTACAGATCACAAAGTTATAGGGCTGGAAGGGGCTTTATACCATTTGAGGTCTGCCAAATATAGAACAACCATAGCCTTGTGGTTGTATCCTGAACTAAACTTTCTATGACAATCACATGCTTCCTATGGCAAAAAATAACAGGAGTTTCTAAGCATCTTTTCCAAGTAACAAAATTCATTAAAAGATATACATACATACATACATACATACATACATACATACATACATACATATATTCATGTTGCTGCAGTTCACTTTATTAAATGCAGAGTGGCTTGACAGAAGTAGAACTTAAACTGGGGAAAAATAGAGGGGAAGAAGTGGATTAAAAAGGAGGAGAAGACAGGTTAGTTATGCAGATACAAGTTACATGCAAAACAGATTACAAGTTCCTTATCAATTAACAACTGTAATGTATAAAAAAAACCATTCTGTTTCTTGAGATTTGATGTATTTGGTATCAATAATTTCTCACTCAATGGAATAGTCCTACTTTTCTAGAACAGTCAATTAGAGATATGCTGGGGGAATTAAAACTCGGGTACAGTTTGAATGCTCTGATATTAGGTCTTCATTATTACAGTTGGAAATAACTGCAAGAATAAGCATTACTTGTATTCATATCACTGTTACTATTAAAACTGTAAGAATAATATTATTGGCATTAAAGGCAACCTTACAATTAAAATTTAATGCTTCCCTGCTATTAATTTGTATAATATCTTGTTATTCCTCTTTGCCCACAGTTGAAGTTGGCCTCCCCGTTTTCACAGCTATTGATCTATCCTAACAAGTATGATTAATGCTTGATCCTGACATAATTCATTACAATTGCTTTTATTTTTCTATATAATTCCCTTCTTTCTCAAGACCCTAAACAATGCACCTTTCACCTGATTATTCCTGAGGCAATAGATCAAGGGGTTAAGCAAAGGGGCAACAGCTGAGTAGAACAATGTCATCACTTTAATATTCTCAGTACGATTTTTTTCAGTGTACCCAATGTACATTGTGGCCACAGAACCGTAAAAAATGGTCACCACTGCTAGGTGAGAAGACACCGTTTGGAAGCCCTTTTTTCCAGTGTTTTCACCAGACTTTTTTGCCAAGGTGAAAATAATCCCCACATAGGAGATCATAATGAAAAGGAAAGTGCCTAGAATTAAGGCAGAAGTTATGACATAGCAGAAAAGAGAGAGAGATTCTGGAGGATGACAAGCTAGGGCTAGAAGTCCTCCAGAGTCACAGATATAGTGATCAATAGTGTTGGGACCACAAAAGGACAACCTGGAGATCAAGGATGCAGGGGCAATGTAGTAGAGAAAGCCAGTAATCCAACAAAAAGCCACCAGGAGGAAACAGAATTTTTTAGACATAATTTGTGTGTACCGTAGTGGACAGCAGATGGCCAAGTACCGATCCAAGGCCATGGCTGAGAGGAAGAAGCATTCCGTGGTGCCAAGGGAGAAGAAGACATAAAATTGGATGAAGCAGGCATGGAAAGAGATGACCCCACCTGGGAAGGACAGGTCAAAGAGCATCCTTGGCACTGTAGCACTTACATAACAGACCTCCAGCCAGGAAAAGTTGCTCAGCAAAATGTACATGGGAAGACGAGATAACTGAGAATCTTCAGATACTACCAAGATGATGACCAGATTTTCAATCAAAGTGAAGATGTAGACCACTATGAATGAGATGAGAAGCAGCAGATGTCCTTGTTGTCCAACTCTGAAGCCAAGCAGAATGAATTCCTGCAATGTTGATGCATTAAACTGTTCCATCTAGAGCACAGTTCCCAGAGTAACAGTTGATCCAAAGTTTCCTATTTGATCATGATGCAATACATTTCTCGATCAATAATTTAGATTGTAATAAATCGGATTCCTATTAAAAGAGATAAGTTGGTTTAAGTCTTACCTGCTGTGTTTACTTTTGCTAGATATCTGTCATCCATTCATCTCCCCACCAACATCATACTGAGTTTATTTAAAAAGTTAGTATTCTGTTAGTTAGCATTTTGTATGCACATTCTTGTCTGAGAAAATATGTGTTTCAGAATCATTTCTTTATGCAAAATTCTTCAAAAGTCCCAGCGAATTCTAGCTGCCAGAGACAGTTTATCAGAAACTGAGCCAGGGTGATTCTCCCATCTTCTCCCTATTCATCTCCTACTTTTAAAAAAATAATCAACAAGACTCATTCCTTTAATAAAGTCTGTATTTTTCAAGAAACCATCCTCAACAGTCTAAACCATTTTTCAGATCTTAGTAAATCTTACTAAATCTATCTTCTAAAATTACATTATCCTATTTTGGTTTGTTAAGAAATCTTTCTGTTCCATAGCAGTGTAGGATAAGCAGCTCCAACCAGACAAGGACATGGCAAGATGTCTGGTGCTCAGAGTTTTACTTGATGGTGAAAGGGACAAAGGATTTAAGTTTGATTATATGCTTCAAATTGAACTTAAATTAGAAATTTCAGAAAGGTTGTTACAAATTTCATCCAACAAAGAAAAGCTTCTTGGGAACTGCTCTCTTGAGAGTAGATTTAATTCCATGAAAACAAAATTTCCTATGAGAATAAATAAATCAACGGAGGACAGGTTTCTCATGGGTATTTAACTTGAATAAAGATTGAAACTGGCAAGGTGGAGACCAGTGATTCTCAGGAACCCACAGACAGACATAAAACCCTTTTTGCAGAAAATTAGAAAAAACGGGAAGTTGCAACCACAACACTGGCTCATCTCACCAAGAAGATTCACCTTGAAATGGGATTCTAATGTCCCCAAATCTTTCTGTTATTGAAACAAACCTTCCCTTCTCAGCTTATCTCCAATATCCAGATTCTGCATGCTCCTTTGTTTGTTGTTGTTAGTTGCAAAATCATGTCCGACCCATCGCAACCCAATGGACAACGTTCCTCCAGGCCTTCCTGTCCTCTACCGTTTTCTGGAGTCCATTTAAGCTCATGCCTACTGCTTCAGTGACTCCATCAAGCTACCTCATTCTCTGTCGTCCCTTTCTTCTATTGCCCTCAATCTTTCCCAGCATCACGCTCTTCTCCAGTGAGTCGTTCCTTCTCATTAGGTGGCCAAAGTACTTGAGTTTCAACTTCAGGATGAATTCATCTTGAAAGCTGTATTTTTATGATCTATTTTTGAAGGCGGTCTTCTCACCATGCAATCAGCAATTCCTTTCCATCAGGCTCAGTAAGATGTTCTTGAGAACATAACCCAATATCCAGCTGACATTTTTAAGTATTTAAAACGTCCACCTCCTTTTCTATGACTTTAAAGGCTTTGCATTAGAACAGGTTTCAAAGTCAAGGTGATTTCCTCTAACCACACTTTTCTCCATGCCATTAGTAAACTGACTAGATTCACTTTCCCTCATTGAACTAAAAGGAACTTAACACAAATCCATGCGGCACAAAAAAAGATCCTTAAAAAAACTCCAAGAATGGCTTAGATATACTGTAAACAGGAATTTGTTTCTCATCTTCATAGATGGATCAGGACATGACTATGAGAGAGGCTTAGTAAAAACCTTCAAAACTACTTAACTGTTGATGAATGCATGGAAAACAAACCTGGCATAGCTAATAATGAAGGGATCATCAAGGTCAAAATTAGAAAAAGAATACCGTAATGTCACCTTTAATAAGGATTTCAGCGATGATGCCTCTCTCAAATTAAAATCCATAATGCACTCATTATCCATGCATGTATGACCCAAAATTATTGCAAAATCAAATGCAGAACTTAGATATTTATTCAGCACTGCTCTTGCACTGAATGAAGACAAAGGCATGCAATTCAGTCTCAACAAATATGCGCCCTTGGTGATTAAAGGAAGCAAATGTGTTGATGAAGATGGATTAAAGGCCAAGGTGAGTGATTGACATCCAGTGATCAGAGGCAACAAAGCTATACCGATCTATGGCCAAATCTCTTAGCCTGGCAACAGCAATGCCTGTTCTTAATCCCTAATGCGGGGTTAGGATGGATGCACATTCTGATATCTGATTTCCATCTAGTGAAACAAATGCTATATTTCTTGAAAAATGTCTGCAGGTTACTTGGGTGTTTATTATTATTTTATTTTAGCAGCTGAATATTTTTCTATCACATTTCAAATGTGACTGCCACCTGTACAATCATTCTCTCCACTTGTGAGCTCAGAAAAGTTGGCCATGTCTCAAAGGTGCTTTTTCAAAAGGCAACTGGACTTTGTTTTTTTCCTTAACAAAGACGTTTTGCTTCTCATTCAAGAAGCTTCTTCAGAAAATTGAAGAATACAAGGGGTGGAAATAATTTCCGCAAGGGGCAGGTATTCTTTAGAGGTGATGAGATAAGCATTTAACCCCTAATATATCATATGAAAAAAGAACCTATATGATTTGGATTTTATCTGTCTGTTTCTCTCTGTGTGTGTAATTTTTATTTTTCATAAAGAAAAAAAACAAATTAAAAAAGGAGAAAAGAGAGAGAAGGCAAAGAAGGAAAAAAGAGTTACTGCCCCATTATCTTTATTTTTCTTTATATTTCTGTATTTTATATTTTGATAAACTATTAAAAAAAATTGAACACAGGAACTAAATAACTTTCAACCTTCTTTTTAATAGATAACAAACTACCCTCCTCTTAACTATTCTAGAGATCCCTTCAACCCCTTATTTAATTCATATCTTTTTGAATTATTGCATCCATAAATCATCATTTCTCTTTTGTCTTCTTTCAGCAATAAAATCCTTAAAAGCTTTCTAATTATTCAAAAAGTAAGTATATTTTCTCCCTGACCAAACAGATCAGTTTTGCCAATTATGGCATTTTCACAATTCCCCCCTTGTGGAATTTGTGGGGTTTGAATATGTCTGTTGATATGGGAAAATAATATTATTTTCCCAGAAAGTATTGGTTGATCTATCCTAGAAATATCCCCAATGGAGAATCAAAACTCACACAATATACGTAGTAATAATTGACTGTAACCGTGGTGGCGAACCTATAGCACGGGTGCCAGAGGCGGCACTCAGAGCCCTCTCTGTGGGCACTTGCACCGTTGCCCCAGTCCTAGGCCTTCAGCTGGGTTTTATAAAACCTTTTCACTTTAGGCCTCCCTTCCATGTACAAAAAAAAAAAAAAAAAGTTCAATCAGTCAATTTCAACTTCTCGCGGGAAAAATAAAGATCTTGCAAAGTTGGGATTGACTGATTGAACTTTTTAGTCCCACCCAGTCTGCTGTTACTACCACAGCCACACCCACACAATGGGCCACACCCACACAATGGGCCATGCCCACCCGCCACCTGACGATACATAAGTGGGTTTTGAGTTGCAGTTTGGGCACGCGGTCTCTAAAAAGTTTGCCATCACTGGACTATAACCTTAAACACTTGGTTGCTGTTCAGTGTCACAATCTAGTTCAGTCAATAGATGGCACTAGAGCTAGTTATATATCCAATTTTGTTCTTGCTTTAAATTAATAACAATGCTCAATATTTAGACTGGTTGAATGATAGGAAATATCATGCTTGCAGAATGTGGTACGTTTAGACTGAAAGAATTTTGAACTCAGAATTCATATCTAAACTGTGAACTTCCTTCATTTCCTTCATAAAATTCATAACAATGGTAGAGTTGTTTTGTTGTTCTTGATAAATGTGTGTGTGGGGTGTGTGTGTCACAAACTCTTTCAAACATGCTTCCAGCAGCCTCTCCCTTAGGATGCTACCCAACCATAGCCTTGTTAGTTGAATCCTGACCTAAACTTTTATGACAATCGCATGTTTTTTAAAGCAAACAAAGAGAGAGAGACACACAGAGAGAGATAGTATAGAAGAATCTTTATCAAATAACAAAATGTATTAAAGGACACACATTTTCATCTACTGCAGGTCACTTTATTAGATGCATAAATTGGCTAGACAGAAGTAGGATTTAAATTGGGGAGAGGTAGAGGAGAAGGTGGGGTAAAAAAGGAGAAGACAGATTAGTTATGTAGCTACAGGTTAGGTGCAAAATAAATTACAGGTACTTTATCAATTAACAAGTGCAATATATTAAAAACAGAGTGTGTTTCTTGACATCTTCTGATATCAACTGTATCCTTTTGAAGGTTATGAGTTCAACAATTTCTTACTCAAAAGAACTATTAAAGTTAAACTTTTTCAGAATAGTCAGTTTGAGAAACTATGCAAATGAAATGTTCTTATATCACTTCCGTCTTGAAATATTACTTTGAAATAACAATTGCAAGAATCAGCATTATTGATATTAATATTTCTACTACTTTTAAAACTACAAGAATTAATATTATTGGTATTAAGGGTAATACTACTATTAAGGTTTAATGGTTCCCTACTACTAACTTTTTATGCCCCTGCAATGGTTCCCTGCTATTAATTTGTATAATATCTCGTTATTCCTCTTTGCCCACAGTTGAATTGGCCTCCCTGCTTTCACAGCTATTGATCTATCCTAACAAGTATAACTAATACTTAATCCTGACATAATTCATTACAATTGCTTTTATTTCCCTATATAACTCCCTTCTTTCTCAAGACCCTAGACAATGCACCTTTCACCTGATTATTCCTGAGGCAATAGATCAAGGGGTTAAGCAAAGGGGCAACAGCCGAATAGAACAATGTCATCACTTTAATATTCTCAGTACGGTTTTTTTCAGTGTACCCAATGTACATTGTGGCCACAGAACCGTAAAAAATGGTCACCACTGCTAGGTGAGAAGACACCGTTTGGAAGCCCTTTTTTCCAGTGTTTTCACCAGACTTTTTTGCCAAGGTGAAAATAATCCCCACATAGGAGATCATAATAAAAAGGAAAGTGCCCAGAATTAAGGTAGAACTGGTGACATAGCAGAAAAGAGAGAGAGATTCTGGAGGATGACAAGCTAGGGCTAGAAGTCCTCCAGAGTCACAAATATAATGATCAATAGCGTTGGGACCACAAAAGGACAACCTGGAGATCAAGGATGCAGGGGCAATGTAGCAGAGAAAGCCAATAATCCAACAAAGAGTCACCAAGAGGAAACAGAACTTTTTAGACATAATTTGTGTGTACCGTAGTGGACAGCAGATGGCCAAGTACCGATCCAAGGCCATGGCTGAGAGGAAGAAGCAGTCCGTGGTGCCAAGGGAGAAGAAGACATAAAATTGGATGAAGCAGGCATGGAAAGAGATGACCCCACCTGGGAAGGACAGGTCAAAGAGCATCCTTGGCACTGTAGCACTTACATAACAGACCTCCAGCCAGGAAAAGTTGCTCAGCAAAATGTACATGGGAAGACGAGATAACTGAACATCTTCAGATACTACCAAGATGATGACCAGATTTTCAATCAAAGTGAAGATGTAGACCATTGTGAGTGAGATGAGAAGCAGCAGACGTCCTTGTTGTCCAACTCTGAAGCCAAGCAGAATGAATTCCTGCAGTGTTGACACATTAAACTGTTCCACCTAGAGCACAGTTCCCAAAGTAACAGTTGATCCAAAGTTTCCTATTTGAGGCTCAGAATTGATCCAACTTTTTTTTGAAATGATATGAATTAGAGAGAGCAGGCCACAGGATTTGGAAATAGCAGCCAAAAGAAGTCTGTTCTATTGTAGAGTTGTTGGATCATGATGCAATACATTTCTCTATTAGTCATTTAGATTGTAATAAGTTGGATACCTTTATAAAAGATATAAGTTGATTTCAGTCTTATCTACTCTGCTTCTTTTTGCTACATATCTGTCATTCACTCATCTCCTCCCCCTCCCCCCATCTTCACACTGAGGTTATTTAAAAAGTTAATATTCTGTGATTTTGTGTATACATTCTTGTCTGAGAAAATGTATGTTTCAGAATTAATTCTGGTGCAGAATTCTTTAAAAATCCAAGCAAATTCTAGTGGTCAGCTGACACAGATAGTCTGTAAGAAACTGACCAAAGTGATCCTCATTTCTTCTCCCCACCAAGCCACTACTTTTAACAATTTAATCAAAAAGACTCATTCCTTTAATAAATCTGCATTTTCCAGAAACCATCCAGGACCGTCCAGACCAGGGGTAGGCAACCTCGGCTCTTTTATGACTCATGGACATAGCTGACTCAGGAATTCTGGGAGTTGAAGTCCATGAGTCATAAAAGAGCCGAGGTTGCCTACCCCTGGTCCAGACCAATCTTAGTAAATCTTATTTATCTTCTGAGATTACATCATCCTATTTTAGTTTGTTAAGAAATCTTTATTTACCATAGCAGTGCAGGATGAGCAGCTACAACCAGACAAGGACATGGCAAGACGTCTGGTGCTCAGAGTTTCACTTGCTGGTGAAGGGACAAAGGATTTAAGTTTGATTATATGCTTCATGCTGAACTTAAATCAGAAATTTCAGAAAGGTTGCTACACATTTCATCCAACAAAGAAAAGCTTCTTGGGAACTGCTCTACTGAGAATACATTTAATTCCATGAAAACAAAATTTCCTATGAGAATGGATAAATCAAGGGAGGACAGGTTTCTCAAGAGTATTCAATGTGAAGACTCAATATATAAAAGTTGAAGCTAGCAAGGTGAAGACCAGTGATTCTCAGGAAGCGACACACACACACACACACACACGAACACACAAAACTCTTTTTTTCAGCAAATTAGAAAACAAGGGCAGTTGCAACCACAACACTGGCTCATCTCACCAAGAAGAAGGTCTACATGAAGTGGGATTCTAATGCCCCTAAATCAGGGGTAGGCAACCTTGGCAATTTTTTTTTTATTGAAAGTTTTTAAAATTTTACAATAAAATACTCCCCCCCTCCCGCCCCCCCACCCCCGTCCCCCCTGCTTCCCAGAGCTGAATACAGTGTTAAAAACAACAAAAAACATACAACTTAGATGAACATCAAACAATTATACATACATCCCAAAAACAAAATTTAAATACTTTAACTCCAATACATAAAAGCAAAGATTCTAACCATTACCCTTAAACATAAATTATTCAAAAGCTAAATAATATTTTCTAATCTCAAATTTATTCTGTATAAAATTCACCCATCTTTTCCACACCAAAATATATTTCTCTTGCGATTAATCTTTCAAATAAGCCGAAATTTTTGCCATTTCAGATAAATAAGAAACTTTAAGAAACCATTCTTCTAAAGTAGGCAAAGAGTCCTTCTTCCAATATTGCCCAATCAGCAACCTTGCCGCTGTAATTAAATTCAACATTAGAATAATTTCTTTAGCATCACTATCAACAATAATGCCTAACAAAAACAATTGTGGTGTAAATTTTATCCTTCTATTAAAAATCTTCTGAATGTTCCACCAAATCTTAATCTAGAAAGCTTTTATATTTCTACATGACCACCAAATATGATAATAGGTTGCAGCCAAACAACCACATCTCCAACATTTAGACTGCACATTTGAATACATACGAGACATCTTTTGTGGATCAAGGTGCCACCTATAAAACATTTTATAAAAATTTTCTCGTAAATTTTGAGCCTGAGTAAATTTAACATTCCTCACCCAGATTATCTCCCATGTATCTAATAAAATCGGCTCATCAAAATTTTGAGCCCATTTAACCATACAATCTTTAACTAATTCTGTTTCTGAATCAAGTTCCACTAAAACACTATAAACTCTTTTTATATGAGTTCGACTTTGATCTTTAATTTGTTTCATCAAATTCACATCCTCCCTAATAAAACCCACTTTTTGATCTATTCTCCACCTTTCTAATAATTGCCTATACTGAAACCAAGAATAATTAATATTTTCTTGCGCTAATTCACCCATAGATTTTAATTGCCAATTATTCCCATCCCAATTAAGCAATTGTTTATAAGAAATACTCTCCATTTTCACTCCTTTCCTTATCCCTTCTATTGCATGCCCTGGAATTCCCCACAACAGTATTCTAGAATCTGATCTATAATATTTCTTCCAAACTCGCAATAAAGAAATTCTCAGGATATGGGACTTAAAAACCCTATCCACCTTTTTATTATAAATTAAATACGCATGCCATCCATATAATAAATCCCATCCCTCCAAAAAAAGTATATTTAAATTTGTTAAATTAATCCAATCACTAATCAATGTTAAAACCACCGCTTCATAATACAATTTCAAATTTGGCACCTTGAGTCCACCTCTCTCTCGAACATCTTGTATAATTTTGAGCTTTACTCTTGGTTTTTTCTCTGCCCAAATGAATTTGTTGATACCCTTCTGCCATTCTTCTAAATTTGCCTCTTTCTTTAGAATAGATATCATTTGAAACAAAAAAAGAAACTTTGGCAGAACATCCATTTTAACTGCAGCAATTCTCCCTAACAAAGATAGTTGCTGGCTCAGGAATTCTGGGAGTTGAAGTCCACAAGTCATAAAAGAGCCAAGGTTGCCTACCCCTGCCCTAAATGTTCCTTTTATTGAAACAGCCCTTCTCAGCTTATCTCCAATATCCAAATCCAGCATACTCCTTTGTTATACAGGCTGAATTGCTGAATTCATCTTGGAAGCTGTATTTTTATGGTCTACCTTTGAAGGCAGTTTTCTCACCATGCATTCAACAACTCCTTTCCATCATGCTCAGTAAGATGTTCTTGAGAACATAACCCGATATTCTGCTGACATTTTTGAGTATTTAAAATGTCCATCTCCTTCTCTGTGATTTTAAAGGCTTTGCATTAGAACAGGTTTCAAAGTCAAGGTGATTTCCTTTTGCCACCATTTTCTCCATGCCACTAATAAATAAACTTACTAGATTGTTACATCTCGAAACGTGAATGTTGGAATAGAGCTTTCTTGAAATTTATGATTGATTTCTCTATGTCAAAAACCTAGTTACCATCTGATTTCTTTTCTTGTGGCTTCCCCTATATTCTTTTTTTTTTAATTGAAAGTTTTTTGAAATTTTACAGAAGAAAAAAAAATCCCCTCCCCAAACCTTCCCAACCCACCCCAACCCTCCCCCAACCTTCCCAGAGCTGAATACAGGCTTAATTAAAACTTAAAAGAAATTTTTTTAAACACATGTAAACCATAAACGATTAATTACAATAGTTAAACAAATTATAAAATACTTTAAGACCAATATATAAAAAACAAAAAAATTATATCTAAACATACACTACCTATCTAGAATTTTCATTCAATCTCCATAATATCATACTTATATTATATAAAATCTATCCCTCTTTCTTTGTCATCAAACTCAAAAGTACACATATAAACATTAATTATACCATTAAAACAAAATATTCTTTTAAATACTCCTTAAATAATTAAACTTAAACTTCTTATCTAGAATTTTCATTCAATCTCCATAATCTTCTCTCCTCTTTATAAATTATTCGGAAAAAAAAAACCTAAACATTTTCTAATGTCATACTTATATTATATAAAGTTTATCCATCATTCTTTATAAACACCCTCAAAAACACACATATAAACATATAACATTAAAGTTCCCTTATACATATTTAAAACAAAATATTCCTTTAGATGCTCCTTAGATATCTAAACATACACTACCTATCTAGAAGTTTCATTCAATCTCCATAATATCATACTTATATTATATAAAATCTAATCTATCCCTCTTTCTTTATCATCAAACACAAAAATAAACATATAAACGTTAGTTATACCATTAAAACAAAATACTCTTTTGAATACTCCTTAAATTACTAAAGTTAAATTTCTTATCTAAAATTTTCATTCACTCTCCATAATCTTCTCTCCTCTTTACCAATAACCAATTCCATCCACAGTGAACTGTAATCTATCAATAACCTAAAAACAACCTATACATTCTTAATCAATCTCTCTTATCCAAGAACCTCGAGAGAAGTGCTTGGAAATCTGGCCTTAAAGGTTGCTCCAAAAAGTTTGTAGATCTTGCTTCTCCCGCTGGCTCGGAAACAAATACTTGTGAGGCTTCCTTAACATCCTTCTTCTGTTGCTCCTTTTCTTTACGTTTATATGTTACACAGGTTATCCTCTGCTCCTTCATCTCAACTTGTTGAGACCCCTCAGTCTGAAATTTCCCAATTTTCATCAATATAGGCTCTTCAGACTGCGATTCTACCTTCTTCTCTTCCAAAACTTTAGACATAATAAGTGGCGATGAACATACCCCCAGGACCGAAGTGTAAAACTCTTTTGCTTTGAAAACAGTATTAAGTCTATAACGTATCCCCAGATAGTTCACCACCATTCCAATCAGAACGTCCCATCTGAACACCATTCGCCTCTTTTTAAGTTCATCTGCTAAAAAAGCAAACTCCTTTCTTCTTTTTAAAATTTTAGATGGGATCTCCTTTAAAATTATAACGTCTTGTGAAGCAATCTGAAACCTCTTATTGTAAAAAGCTTGTATAATTTCATTGCGCAGGGATCTTTTCCCAAAATAAATAACCACATCTCTTGGCAGGTTTCTTTGCTTTGCCACCACAGAATTAACTCTAAATGTTTTTTTCAATTTCACTAAATATTTCCTCTTTTTCTCTGTCCAGAATCACAGCAAAGTCATTTGCAACCATCTCTCTCAGATCTCCTTGCAGAGACTCTCTCAAGCCTCTAATTCTTAAAGCATATTCCATTTCTCTATATTGAAGCATAAGAATCTCATCTTGAGAATTTTCCATCTCTTTTTCCATACCTTCAAATTTTCCCTCCAAGAGCTCCACTTTGTCTTCAACCTCTTCTACACGAAAATTCAACTTTTCAAGAACAGAGGCAAATTCTTTTAAAGCCAACACTATATCTTGCCTCAGAATCCTATTATTTTCCAGTAAAATCTCTTTCACTTCACCCCTGATTTGAGATATAGCATTTCCTATTATGTCTTGCAAATCCTTTACCGTTAATAACTGTGCCAAAGAAGAGGGTGAAGCTATTGATTTAGGTTGTTGCACTGATGATATCACTGAAGAAGAAACCACCTTAGGAGCTGTAGAAATTACTGGACGCTTTGGAGCCATCTTAAAAAATCTTTACTCCTTCTTAAAAATTACCAAAAAAAGAGGGAAAGAACAGTTAAACAAAAAAAAGGAGATTGACTCCAAAAAATCAAAAACTCCTTCAAAAGGAGATCCTTATAATAAAAAAAGAAAAAAAAATAAAAAAGGAAAAGAAAAAATAATAATAATTTAATAATTTAATAACAATTAAATAAAAAAATCTGTTCCGTTGTTTTTTAAAAGTACAAAAAAATCCCTTAAAAGAAAAAAGATAGCAAAAGAGAGTTTAACAAAAAAGAATCTTCCCAAAACACAAATCCACCTTAAGAAAAATTTTTAAAAAAAGAACAATCTAGTCCATTACATTCCGTTTCACTCGCTT